AAAGGTCTGTTTCAGGAAATCACATCCCCAGCAATCGGCAGTTTCAGAATTACTATATGTTGTAAAACAGTTCATACACCACTAGTTGGCAGTGTTGTGCATATGTTGTACATGAATTATTATCAGCTAGTAARTGTCAAATTCAACTTGTGCTTTAAAATGAGCTTTGGCTAGTTTTTCTATGGCATAAGTGCTTTAGTAATTGCGGASCTAGTTTTTGGATTAGCGCTGCCCACCACTGCCTTGCACATTTGAGCAGAGTAACAAGTGTCTCACTGACCAGCTGACTGAGGAGTCTGTCATCCAGCTGGCTGTCAGTCAGGCTGAGGACGTGCTGGTGTGGGGGGGAGCTGGCGATGGATCGCAGCTTTGTCCTCAGGGCTCCCTGTTCAGGTGTTGCAGGCAGCATGATGACGAACACCCTGACATTGTGCCGTTTGGCCTCCGCAGCTGCCGTCACAGCACTCGGGCTGAGCGGGTGGTCACTTCCGTCCGTCATCAGCAGCGCCACCCTCAGGCTGCTGGAGGACGTCTCTTGTCTGAACAGCTTAGTGGAATTGGTGATGGCGTAGGCAGAGTAGGTGCCGTGGCCGATAAAATCCATGGAGGCCACCCGGCTGYGGAAAAGCTCCAGGTGCTGCCAGTCTTTAAAGCTGTGCTCCACTGAGACGTTGCTGCTGTACTGCAGAGCGGACAGGCGCAGGCGTARAAACCAGCCGACATGGTGGAGCTGCATGAGCTTGTTGCTGAAGCRCTGGATGAACTCCTTCTGTTGGTCAAACAGCTGAGCTGTGGTTTTCTCTGAGCTGTCAACAATAAACATGATCTCCATCGGGCAGATCAGGGCTGTGAAGAGAGAAAAACAGCAGTTGTGATATTGTCTCTTTGTCTCTATGCATTCTGGGGGACACCAGAGACCCCACAGTTGTGAATTTCTTTGTTCAACTCTGTAATAAATTTAGTAATTTTTCTGATGTGTTTGTCCAGTCTCTGATGAAACATTTGTGGATTCCTGTCGGCTGATGTCAGTCTAACACAGCTATCAGTTCTTTATGCTATAGAAAAGACATGAAAATGATTGAATAAAAACACTCACTTTTAGTTTGGTGGAGGAGTTGTGTCTCATCTCTTTGATTGCTGTTCTTTCTGCTTTCAACCTGGTTCAGTAGCATGACAGAAAGAGCCAAAGCCTTCACAAACCAGAGCACCGTCATTGTTGTTCAGCCTGWCAGAAAGCAGAAATAAGATGAATAACAATAAACTGTGTTTCTGTCAAACTCTGTTGGTCAGTGGCACCTGCAGAATTTATTTTC